TTAAGTTGGCAACAAATTTGCATTGATGATGATCGTCATCAAGTGTCCGGTGATTTATGATAGGCCACTGTACATGTTTTATGTTATGCAATTGTATTAGATGCATATATACCACCGTGGTAACAATTTCAATTATTATTCCTACTTGAATCTTCAGATACCATTTACTTTTCTAAAAATTCGTTTTAATATTAAATTCGCAATTTCATTCTGATAACTATGTTTAGATTTAATCCTAATGCTAAATTACATTTATGCTCATGTAATTCTAATACATCCCCGATAGCCGACGCTCAAAATGCCGACGCAACACCCGACATTTCTAAAATCTCAACATCACGATGTTCCTAAAAAATAAATACAAGTGGAAAAGGTATGTATGCATGAAAAAGTAAGGGTGATGTAAGGCTAGTACAAATTGCACTCTTTACAATCGTTACGATTGTGGTTATTACACGCGCCTGTATACACTTCGCATCAATGTTTTATTGCATAATTTTGAGTGTATTATCGGGATTTGGGAAAGTCGGGATGTGTGTGGAAGTTTTTAGATTTTTTTGTCGATCTTCATGATCCTGATATTTATAAATAGCAAAAATCATAGCCATACACTAACAATTCATTGTAAGTACATGCATTTGTAAACAAATAACAAAGTTTGTCATTTTGGGATTCTTTAAATAATTATGGTTTAGAAAAAACGAAAAGTATTTTTGGATTCTACATGTATCAACTTTTTGATAAGACAAACTCTGCATTTAAATTACTGATTTGTGCTTGTTAATAATAAAAGGCGATGCAAAATAAAGACTTTCGTATCTCGTATCAATATAGTGTATTCATTGTTATGATGATTCTGCTATCGTTATCGTTATATACATAATTTCCGTAAATCATGTGTAATGGACATTTGAATAATCGGCCACTTTATAATACAATATCTTGAAAATCTAGATCGATATTAGTAAGTTACTATTAGGGTCAGAGTCGAGGTGAATCGAACGGTAGCATTTTCACTTGAATCCGATTGTACATGTACATGTATTACGTTCCTAAAGTGGCCAATTACATGTACATGTATTTTTTTCGAGCAAAGAATACATGTATTATCATTCGATTTGTCTCGACTAGACAAATCGAATGGCAGTAATTTCGCTCGATTCGATTAATGAACTTCGAGATAATGTGACAATTCATTGTACATGTACATGTAGTTTGTACGTGGATGTTTGATGAGCATCCAATTATGAAAGTTTATATAAAGTAATCTGAAATTAACTCTTCCAAATGGTAATTGACTTATATAATATTCGAACAGCCTGTTTGATGAATTCGTGATAGTTTTGTAGCTAATGTGTTGTTTTATTTATAACATGAATATTCGATGCATAAAACCCAAGGTCAATTTCTTATTTCCAAAGAGAAAATAATAAACAATTTTTCAATTAACCCTGAAGATCAATCAATAATACATGTACTTTCTGATAGCCTTCCCCCTCGCTAAACCCAACGAGTTTAGTATATACATCGTTTTTAAAAAAATAAAAATCTTTGCTAAGCAAATATACATACTGTCCTTCATGTACATACCGCCTTTCATATAGATTTCCTGAGGAAAGCTACAACGCTGAATCAATTACTTAGAAAAATTAGATTTATGTATTAAATGTATAAATAGGAGACGACAGTAGAAAACGTTTTTATTATGAATCGATTGACAGCAAAGATATTTATTTGCATTTTTAACGTTAATTGCTTCATCTATGATATTCTGAATAGCAATATGAATGAACGGTCTAACTATAAACCATGATATGATTAATTACTATGCGCAGCAGAAATACATTTTGCATGTACCTCATTAGTTGTACTGTATTGAGTGTTTCACCATGAACATTGTATCAATGTATGTATTTCATACCACTTATTGAACAGTGCGTGAATATTACATGTATACAGTACAATGGTGATAAAAAATATTGAAAAGCCAGTATCGTTTTCTAAAATAATACAGCCTGCCATTTATCAAGTAATATTTTTTAATGACATTTAATTACATGTAATAACCTCACCTGTTTATGTCTTATAATAGATCAACTGACCCATGTATCCATGGTAAAAATCACGCAAGTAATAAATAAAATGGCAGTGCCGTAAATAATATATGTAAAATCTCTCAAATTTGTAATTTGTTCACTTATTTTGTATAACAGCTTACGTATAATTATTGCCATATATTTTTTCATTTAAAACGATTTCTATCTAAATAGTCCAGTGCTATCAAATTTACACAATGAAAATATCGTTTATCTTCGTAGACTATTCAACATAAAAATTATAGATTATGATTTATGATTTATGATTCGATGACGATTAAGTGACGATTCAGTAAATTAACATCGAGTTATAATAAGTCAGTCCCAAATTTTCGATAGTCTCGGGAAAAACACATGTGCGTGTGTGTGTGAACATAATTGAAAACATGTCACAAATAAAAGATTGAACGCAGAAATCCAAAGATTTCCTTGTTTATCCATATCGATATCGATATTGACTTTATAGAACCTCTTTATTATCGATATATATAGAGATTCAAAGAAAAATCTTTTTAGCGTTAGGTGGTGTAATTATAATACATGTATAACATGTATTGTATATTCGAGATTTCAGATTTTTCGATCTCGAATTTTGGATTCGCTAATTCGCTAAGCACAGCGAATTTGGTGATAAAAATCGGTAATTAAATTTGTGTTGTACTATTTTTATAACCATTCTTGTTCTGAAAACAATAATGTGTGTCATAAAAAATAATTAAAATGGTAATTAATGAACACAGCCATTTAATTTATTATTTATTGGTCACTGCCACACAAAGTCTAAGCGAAATGCCAAGTGTGTCTATGAATACACTCATTATAAATACATATAGAAGAAATTTTACGATGAATATTATCTATTGTTAATATTGTTTATTGTTATTATTATTATAAAACAAACAACATTTCTCTCGCTTTATCATTTTCAAGAAATACAGATATATAGACAAAACATAACAACACAGAATACATAGGAAAAATGTTACGAAAGCACTTTTACATTACTCTGTTCCTTGCCGTCACCATTGTAGCTATTGCTACGCTAGCGAACGCACAAGGTAGCGGGAACGGAAACGGAAACGGAAATGTTGGTAGCGGTCACGGAAACGGCTATGGTAATGGTGGTTCATCAACAGGACAAGGAAATAATCAAGATAACGGAAACGGATCTAACGGTAATGGCTCTAATGGTGGTCCTGGTGGTGTTTCTAAGGGTGGTACTGGTATTGGTACTAATGGTGCTAATGGTGCTAATGGTGCTAATGGTGCTAATGGTGCTAATGGTTCTAATGGAGGTTCGGGTATTGGTACTAATGGTGCTAATGGTGCTAATGGTTCTAATGGTGGTTCGGGTAGTGGTACTAATGGTGCTAATGGTTCTAATGGTGGTTCCGGTGTTGGTGGGGTTGGCGGGGTTGGCGGTGCAGGTGGTTCTAATACGTCCAATTCAACTAATTCTTCTTCGGCTGGTTCTTCTTCCACTCCTACCAACACAGCCAGCACTACTGGAAGTTCGTCCCCAAGTGGTTCGCAGAGCGCTGCCACTCCTGCTTCCACTAGTACAAATGCTGCCGCTTCGCTTTCTTATGATCATCACTTTGGACGCGAAGTTATTGGAATGCTCTTTGTCACTTTCGTCACTGCTTTGGTTGCTTTCTAGAGATTTTCGTCGTCATTGGATGGATCACTTGTTTAGTTCTCTAATTATTTTATAAATAGTTATCAAAGAACACTTTTAAAATTCGGAAATGTACGAGATTAAATAAAATTAACTCATTTCCTTATTTTATCCAAATGTCTTCACAAATTCTTTGCGTGTGTAAGGCCATTTTTATAAAATGGATCGCATCTTGAAAGTCTAACACTAACATAATTTCGGTATTTAATGTCTCAATTACGTACATGTATATTAAATATTTGAAACATTTTTTTCATATTCCGATTTATTTTAGATTCAAAATCAGAAAAATTATTTTACATGTAGACATATAATATGTTTCAAATATTTTAACCTTTGAATAAATTATTATATGTAAATCTAAGTCAGATCCAATAGCAATTTTTTAAAATGTAATTTTATAATAAATATTATCAAAAAATAATTATAATGCATGTATTCATCCAGTAAAAAATTAAAGGAAATTTTTTAGAAATAATTTTACGAATTTTATTTATATTTAAAAAATCAATTTGTTTTTTTTAAATAATTTTTTAAACTTTTCTTTATATTCAAAAAAAAAGAAAAAACCAACTGGTTCTTTTTTTTTATTTTTTCAAATTTCAGAAATTACTAGTCAATTCAAAAATCTTCTTGATAAGATTTAAAACTGCTAACTTTTTTCTAAAAATTATCAGGTAATTTCTAAATATTTTAAATAAAAATTATAATTTAATTATTAATTAAGATCTATATTTTCTGAAATAATTAAAATATATTTTATTAGCTTATATTTATTTTGAATAAACTATTAGATAATTCTTTTATTTTTAAAATAAAATTATTTTTTATTATAATATATTCAGTTTAATGATATTAAATATTATATTAATATTAAATTTTTAAAAATTATAAGTTATTATATAATATAAATCATAATTCTTAATATTTTTAATAAAATTTATATATAATATCAAGTTCAAATATTATTATCTATATTATTTTTGAATTAAAAATATATTTATAAATTATATAATTATTAATTTTTAATATTATAAATAGTATTTATTTTATTTATAAATATAAAAGTTAAATTTTTAATTTTATTAATAATATTTTTTATTTTAAAGTTAGAATTTTCTATTTAACTAGAATAAATTTTTAAAATAATTTAAAATATTGTAAAAATATTTATATATTAAATTACTTAAAAATTATATTTATATTATTTAATAATTTTAATATTAAGAAAATTATTCTAATTAAATATGAAATTAATAAATTTTATAATTTTAATATTAAGAGAATTATTCTAATTAAATATAAAATTAATAAATTTTATATAATTAGCATAATTTTCTTATAAAAAAACAAAAAATTATATTAAATAAAGAATTCTGATTTTATTTTAGATTAAAAATAAAAATTATTGAATAATAAAATTAAAATCTTTTTATATATAATAAAAATTTATATTTTACTAATTATAATTAATAAAAAATTCAAATAATATATTATTTTTAATTATTATTATTATATATATTAATATTTAAGATTAAAAAATTAAATATTATTTAATAAAAATTTTTTTAAAAATTTTAATAAATTATTATAAATATTATTCTTAAATATATTTACTATATTTATTAAGTATATAATAAAAAAATATAATATTTTAATTTTTTATTAATTATAATTATTTTTCTTTATATATAAAAGTTTTTAATTTTATTAATAAATATTTTCTATTTTCAACTCAAAAAATAGTTAAAATTCTCTAGTTTAATATATATTTCTTCAGATTTTTCAGATTTTTTATTAATAACTTGTATATATTATATTAAAGTTAATTAATTATTAATTAATAAAAATTAATTAATTTTATATATGATATATATAAGTTAAAAATAAAAAATTTGAAAAAATATATATTAAATTAAAGAAGTTTTAAGCTAAAAATAAAAATATTTATTAATAAAAATTAAAAACTTTTATATATAAAGAAAAATATATATTTTATTAATTATAATTAATAAAAAATTAAAGTATTATATTATTTTTAATTATTATTATATTAAATAATTTAAGTATTTTTATTATATTATAATATTAATATTAAATTTAATAATAATTTAATAAATATATAAATAACTTAATTAAATCTTTATTAATTATTATATATTAATAAAATATAAAAATTTTAAATATAAATTTTAATAAGAATTATATAAAATAAATTATATAAAAATTAAAAATATATAAAATTTTACTTATAATAATTAATAAATTTTATTATGAATTTAAAAAATTTTATAATAATTTTATTATTTAATTAATTAAATAAAATTAAATAAAAATATTATAAAATTATTTTATTAATAATTATAAATAAGATAAAATATAAAGTGAATAGTTTCTTTTTATAATATTTATATTTTTTATTATTTGAGAGTATTCAGATTTAAAGTTAATTTATAAAATAGAGGATATATATTTATAAAAAAAGAAGTAAATATAAAATATAAATAAATTATAAATAATTAATTTAATAAAAATATATATAGTTAAATAGAATTAATTATTTTAATTTATATCTCTAATAAATAATTAATTATAATTTAATAATTATAAATATAATAAATAATAATAAAGAAGAATAAATAAAGATATAAAAAAATATTAATTAATAAATATAATTAAAAAAATTAATTATTTAAATAAATAATAAGTATATACATAATAATTTTTTATATAATAATATGTTAAATTTAATATATTAAATATATAAATGATTATCTATATATTCAGAATGAAATTGATCTTTATAAAAAGTAATACAGAAGCTAATCTACTATATAAATTATATAAAATAAAAATCTAAACTAAAAAGAAATAATCTAATTAAAAATTATTATAAATATGATTAAATCTTATTAATTTTAACTTTATTAAAATTTATAATTTTATTAATAAATAATTTTTATTTTAAATAATTTATAATTTAAATAAATTATTCTAATTATAAAATTTTATAAGAATTTTTTAATTATAAAATTTTTATAATTCTTTAAATCTAAAAAAAATAAATTATAAATTAAAAATAAAAAAATTTATTAATAAAATTATAAATTTTAATATAAAGAGAAATTTTATTTTTATTATTTTTTATTAAATAATTTAATATTTTATTTTATTATTATAAGTTATTATTAAATATTATTAAGTATTTATATTTTATAATTAAATAAATTTTTAAATTAAAAAATAAATTCAAATTTAATTTATTATAATAATTTTAATTAAATTATCTTTCTTTTAATTTAGATTTTTATTTTGCACTATCTGTATTACAGATTAGCTTTTTATTATATTTTTAAAAAGATCAATTTCATACTGAATATATAAATAATCATTATATATTTAATATATTAGATTTAATATATTATTATACAGATAATTATTATATATATCATAATTATTAATTTAGATTATTAATATTTTTAATTAGATATTTTCTTTAATAATTCTTTATATTTTTATTTATATTATTATTTATATCATTTATAATTATTGAATTATGATTAGTTGCTTTCTGAAAATGTAAATTAAGTTAATTAATTCTATTTAACCTATATGTAATTTAAATTAAAAATTCATATTAATTTATTTGTATTTTATATTTATTTCTTTTCTTATAAATATAATCTTTCTGTTCTGCACTTTTATTTCAGATCTAAATACTTTTAATAATAAAAATAATTATAAGTTATAAAATTAAAATTATTTATATTATATTTTATCTTGTTTACAATCATTAATAAAATAATCTTACATATTTATCTATAATAATTATTTATTTTTTATTTATATTAATTTATTTATTTAAAGATATTATTTCTATTTTATAATAATAATCATCATCATTATAATAAAAATTAAGTTTTAATTATAAACTCTTATTTTATTTTCTATATAAATCTAAAATCAATTACTTATTATATCTTGAATTTTTTATATAAATTTTCTTGATATTTTATAATATATAATTAGAAAATTACAAATATATAAATAATTATTTATATATTTAATTAATTAAATTTTATATATTATTATGTAATTTATTATAATTATTAATTTAAATTATTAATATTTTTAATTAATATTTTTTTTATATTTTAATTTATTCTTTATTTATTTTATATTTTAATTTATTCTTTATTTATTATATTTATATTATTATTTATCTTATTTATAATTATTGAATTATGATTAATTATTCTCTGAAGATATAAATTAAGTTAATTAATTATATTTAATTTATATATATTTTAATTTAAAATTATTATTAATTTATTTATATTTGTATTTATTTCTTTTCCTTATAAATAAGTTCTATCTGTTTTATATTTTTATTTCAGATCTAAATACTATTTAAATAATAAAATTATAAGTTTATAAATTAAAATTATTTATATTATATTTTATTTTTATTTATAACTATTAATAAATAAGCTTATAATTTAATAATAATAAATATGATTATTATAAATATCATCTTTTAAAATCTTATACTATATTATATATTATATATACTTTATATATATATATCTTAATCTTAAAATTAAAATCTTATTAAAATAAATAATAAATAATTTGATTAATTTATGTAAGATATAATTAAACTTAGTAAAATATTAAAAGAAAATAATTCTTTTAATTCAAAATTCTTATTTCATCTTTAATTAAATTATTTATATACTTAGAAAACTAAATAAAAATGTATTTGTTTAAATAATACAAATTAAAATTATTTTTCTAGCTTAAGTAATTATCAATAAAAAAATATAAGTATAATACATTATTATTTTTTTAACTAATATAATTTTATATTAGTATCTTAATAAATATAAAATAAATAATAATATTATATTATATAAAAAATAAAAAATATTTATAATTATCCTTTAAAATATTTTTTAATTATTATATTATTAATAATATTA